TGATTGGATTATTTGTTCTTTGGGTGTTGAGTTTGCTAAGTTCTTTATAGATTTTGGACACTAGCCCTTATCTGATATGTCGTTTGCAAATATCTTCTCCCATTCTGTCAGTTGTCTTTTGGTTTTGTTAACTGTTTCCTTTGCTGTGCAAAAGCTTTTGATCTTGATAAAATCCCAATAGTTCATTTTTGCCCTTGCTTCCCTTGCCTTTGGCGATGTTCCTAGGAAGATGTTGCTGCGGCTGAGGTCGAAGAGGTTGCTGCCTGTGTTCTCCTCAAGGTTTTTGATGGATTCCTTTCTCACATTGAGGTCCTTCATCCATTTTGAGTCTATTTTCGTGTGTGGTGTAAGGAAATGGTCCAATTTCATTTTTCTGCATGTGGCCGTTGTGACGTCTTCTTAATCCCATGTTTCTAGGGTCTTCCTGAACCTCCCAAACCTTTTTCTGTTTCCTGTTCTAGACGTTTATCCTGCTTCTGGGTTTTCTTCCAGGGATTCTTGAACCTAAAATGGTCACGCTTTGCCCGAGTGATTCTGACCCGCTCTATTGCCATCATCCCCACTCTGCTTGTTGCCATCTTCCAGGACGTAGAGCATCTAACAGGGATGAATGACTTCCTGAATGTTCTGCAGAGCTTACAGGTGAGGAGGGAGCTGGGGGAAGCTCCATCCCATTTAATCAGGCAGTGTTATATATTGCCGTTAGGTACCAAGCCTGTAGTGCTGGGTCCTGGGGAAAATTCAGAGGAAGAAAGAGGCACAGTCTCGGTAAATGTATGGAATCCCTGGTATCTGAAAAGCTTTTAGAAATGTTTTGGTTTGTAAAAGCCTATTGAATGGGAATTATCTGCTATAATTATATATAGAGTATAAAATTACTGTTTTTTAATCCAAGCAAACATTAAATAACATTGGACATGGCTAGGTCCTATTGAGGTTAAAAAAGCAAGGCAGATAGGAATGTTTATAGAGACACCGGATTAGAATCTGTGTCCATCGACAGAATGAAGACATCAGATCAGACGACTCCATAGGTTTCAATATAATGCATGAGCATCTTGGGATGATAGGAGTAATTTCTCATGAGGTAGATGAGACAGGTTATGTGTTTCCGTTGTGCTAACAGTGCTGCTTGGGGGTAATACAGGGATCTCTAGTAGCCCCATCTGATCTCCATTCTTTCTCTTCCAGCTTCCCTTTGCTCTGATACCCATCCTCACGTTTACAAGCTTGCGGCCAGTGATGAATGACTTTACCAATGGAATGTGAGTGTACTTCTCTCAGTACCCCAAAAATATGTGGGGAAGCATATCTTCATTGAATAGACCAGTGAGAAAATGAGTCATGGGGGGGAACCACATGTTTTGAGAGGTGAATGCTAGAGCTGCCCCTTAGTTTTTGGCTCAGAGAACAGAGACTATGAATGCAGTAAAGAAGGCAAGCACATTTTTCATTTCTAGCATGAGAAAGTTCCACTCTTAGGGCTTTAATTCTTTAGCTTTAGTCACTGAAGTGTAAAGCACCTTAATTCCATGTTAAATGATCTTAATGAGAAAAGCATAAACGAATACCTTTTCTGTACTTCTTGAAAGGGTATGGGGTATTTGAAATTATTTGTTGCTTTCTAGGTACTTGAGACTTGTTGCATTTTTAGGGACTTAAATATTAAGGATTGTTTGATAGTATTTCCCCCCCCTCTTTCTCCCTCTTGGTGTTTTACTTGGGACATGATAAGAATAATTTTCAGTGCATTTTGAGATGCCTCTTAACTCCTGTCCTGTCTACTCCACAGGACAGTGTCCTTTTCTGCTTGTCAATTGGCTAGACTATTCCCCCCAGTGACTGATGATTCTTTTACAGAGGCTGGAGGATTGCAGGCGGGATATTGGTCCTTATCGTCTGTTCCATCAACATGTACTTTGTCCTGGTTTATGTCCAGGAACTAGGGCATGTGGCACTGTATGTGGTAGCTGCTGTGGTCAGTGTGGCTTATCTGAGCTTTGTGTTTTACCTGGTAAGTCTTTTCAGAAGGGGGCAGGGGTGTGGGTATCAGACATGGTAGAGATGGGGCTTATGAACACCAAAATGAAAGGATCCAAAAGAGCAAAATAGCAATCTTTTTTCTTTTCTTTTTTTTTTTTAAAGCACATAGCAGTCCTATGTCCAGGTTAATGAGACTGTTTATGTGAAATTGTTAAGTCACCTGTGGTTAAACAATATTTTTAACCATAAAATTTATTTTGGCTCTTAAGAGCTGTCATGTTACTTCTGTCTGGTTTCCATTCTTAGTAATTCCTGATAAGAGGGGCACCTGGGTGGCTCAGTTGGTTAGGCATCTGCCTTCAGCTCAGGTCATGATTTCAGTGTTCTGGGATCAAGCCTCATTTCAGGCTCCCTGCTCGGCCGGGAGTCTGCCTCTCCTTCTCCCTCTGCCTGCTCATGCTTGTGCTCTCTTTCAAATAAATAAATTAATAACTTTAAAAAAATTCCTGATAAGAGAGTATCATGTTTTTGAAGAATTAAAAGAATAGTGTAGAAAGTAGAGAGTGGCACAAGATTTTAATAGCTGTCTACAAAAGAAAGAATATTGATATTTTCTCATTGAATTACTCTAGAGTTATTTTAAAATGATGGTTATAAAAGCATAGCTACACAGAAAATGCAGAATAATGTATTCCAAGATGATCCTTTTTTTTTCCCCCCAAAAAACCAGGGGTAAATTATGTTAAAAATGGTGATAGTAGTTGTGTTAGGATATTTCCTTGATGGATATATTCTTTTGTCTTATTTTCTAAGTCTTATGTAACATTACTTATATTAATGGAAAATAGTTGTAGCAACAAAGACAACAAACCCACCTCCCTGTTCTATACAGGTTTCTCTGAAAAATGCATGTGTGGAGGGTTAGGGACAGCAGAATTTGTACTATATATGCTGCAGAGAATGGTTAAGGATGGAGGCTGGAGACCTGCTGATCTTTTTAACACTTACCTAGTCCCCCTGCTAATATCTGACACAGGTTAAGTACTCGATTGAGAAAATAACTTTAGTGACTATTGAAAAATTAAGCCCTGGATTGATTTATTTTTTCTTCTTTCCTCCTTAGTAAACCTTGAGCACCCTAGGATTATGCTGAACCTATATTCTAGGGATTTACTCCAAGGAAACTCAAGTAACTGAACATGTCCTTGACAGGAATTATTTTTAAAATTCACTGTAGAAGTTAAGGGAATCCTTCCTTCCTGCAGATTAGCTCTGAAGAGACTGAGTTGTCCTCAGGTAGCCTGAAACTGTTGAGGTTGTTGAAGACCCATTTTTAGGCTGGGGACTAATTCTAGGGTTGGTTACTGTTATTAAGCTCCCAAACACGTACTTGAGCAGTTTGGGGTGCTATCCCAGTTGTATTGGTCTGTCAGTCATTACCTCCAGCTGCATCATGAGGAATGGGGTAGGACTGAAGAAAGATGGTCTTCAGGTAACTCCCAGTTGGACAAAAGAAACAACGAACACAAAGCAGTAGGAACAGGGAACTCGATATTGAAAATAGTATGAAGAAACTTTGTTGAGGAAAGCAGATTCCAGGATGTCTTAATGGGAGTGTGGGGTTGGGATAATGACTTGTGCAAACTGGGTGGTAGGACATGAGCAGAGCTGGATGTTCAAGGAAGAGAGCAGGGGGACGCCTAGGTGGCTTAGTTGGTTAAGCGTCTACCTTTGGCTCGGGTCCTGATCCCAGGGTCCTGGGATCGAGTCCCGCATCAGGCTCCTTGCTCAGCAGGGACCATGCTTCTGCCTGCTACTCCCCCATTTTGTGCTCACTTTCTCCCTCCCTCTCTCTCTGACAAATAAATCTTTAAAAAAAAAAGAGGGAAGAGAGCAGGTTTGTATCTTGAGCAGTGCAGTATGAGCAGTCATGATGGGAAGAGGGATCTGTAGAGAGGTTGGCGAATGATGACCATACTTTATCTTTCAGGGTTGGCAATGTTTGATTGCATTGGGCATGTCCTTCCTGGACTGTGGGCGCACGGTAAGCATCTCCAAAGTCCTGCTGACCGGAGAAGCTGCTGGCAGCTACGCTAAGTAGACACTGGATCAGTCTGTCTTCCACGGGTAGCCATCAGAGCCAGTGTGTTTCTATGGTTTACTGTGTGAACATAGCCAAAAGTATGTGCTGTTGCACAGACTGCATTTAAGACTCAGCTCTTTGTTGGGAAAGACTTTGTTTCAGTATATGTTTGAAAAGATGGAAATTTTTTTTTTCTTCCTGACCTAATCTGGGAACTGCATTAGATAGGATCTTTGAAAAACTGACATGTGCTGCTATCATTCCAACACTAACTCTTAAGTAGCTGCCCAAGGGCTAGCTTGTTTTATCCTTTTGAGAGATAATCCTATATGCATTATTCTTAACCAGGCTATGTGTTAAAAAAAAATATTTGAGAAATGTATTAAAGTTTTCATAAGACAAATTACAGAATGGGTATGCAGGTTTTGTTTATAAAAAGATAAAAGGCTGAGAAATACTTTTCTTATGCATACCCTGTCAGTTATTTTAATTATAAAAAAATAAAATCTCAACTAAACTGGTTTCATCCATATTAAATATAAAATTATGAAAAATCTACCTCTTTCAGGTTTAGGATTCTTTTAACTTATTTCCATTTTAAATTTCTTGGTGGAAGTTAAGAGGGATGAGAAAGGATAAAGATGGTGATAAACAGCAAAGCTGGCATGTGGGTGTTGGTTATTAATCACCTTGGAAAGTCACTGAGCAGATTTTCCTCAGAGATTGAAAGCTTATCAGGATTTTCTTTCCAGTCCCAATTTTCTTAACTTTCATGTTAATACAGAGCTTTCCTGATGATATTTACTCTTGAGCACATAGATTTATAAAGCCTTCACCTTCCTCATTCAGGAGGTTGGTTATAGAAAAAAGATGGTAGCATTTATGAACTGACATTCTCATGAGATTTTGGAATGAGAAAAGACTTTAAAGGAAAGAAGAGTCATCTGTTTTATTCCTAAAAGACATCTCCTACCAGAATTGTCATGGTTTTCCGAAGCATGCCCAAGACAACCTGCAAGGCAATCTCGGGAGCTATGGACCTAACTGTTGCAAAGCTCTGTGTCTCTCAGCAAGTCAGTAGGAATCACTGTGATTGAAAGTTCTCTCTCAGCAAGGTTGCACTGGGCTACCTCTCTTCAGCCATTCCCTCAGAGGGAAAAACTTTGAGACCAGATGGTGGAGCTCTGGAGTCAGAGGACATGGGTCCCTTCAGCATGAAGCTGCTTCTCTTCAGCCACTGCTGACATTTTTACATATGGAGCCTGAGATTATGTGATTATATCAAAGCAAATCACATTTGTCTGGTGGAGATAAATAATCAAGTCTGCTCTAGCCATTGACTTGATGAGAACAGTAATGGGAATGGCATTGAATGGCAGTGACTTCTCATTTTTGGAGCTTTCCTTCTAGAGTCCTGGTTGATTGACCTTCTCTATTCACCTGAGCCCCTAAATGCATTATTGCTGATACCAGGTCAAGAGTATAGACTGGATGTACTTTTATAAGGCATTAAGGGTAAACTGCTGTGTATCACTGACCATACCTTATTTTAGGCCCTCAAGCACAGGATCATGAAAGAGAAATTTCCCTCACTGTCCCTCCTCACATCTGCCCCTGTCCCTGTCTTCATTTCCCAAACTGGTCATAAGGGCACTCTGTGAAGATACTGGGGGCTGACATCTTAATCTCTCATCTGGCTGGACTAGGTGGAGGCAAAATTGACAAAAAAATTCTATGTAAAGACAGTATAATAACACACACTACCTTTGCCCTGAGTCTGGGTGGGTCCAGTCACTCTCAGAGTCATAACACTTAGAAGTTCAGGTAAAGCTGCTTGTTTTCTTTAAAAAGTTTTGTTTATGACTTGAGATGATGGAAAATTTCTTCCCAGTTAAATGGCATTTTATAATACTATGTGTGTAGTGTTTGACAGTGTTAAAAATACTCAATACTGTATTTCATTTGATCCTGTCAGAAAGAAAGTGTACTTCAGCCAGTACTGTGGGTGCAATGAACAATGCTGTGAAGTCTCCCAGCGCCAGCGTGCGCGCTGTCTGTGCCGGATGTTAAGTGGTCCTTGTTTTCCACAAATGTGACATGAAGTCATTGTGCTGTCATAGCACACTGGGAGTTAATGGATGGGGAAGAGCTGGAGTAATTTGGCTCCTGTAAGGTCCTGCTAGTAGTATAAGTGGTTACAACTGAGCTGTTAGTGCCCATTTAACACTATGTAAACTTGGTTTGTAATTAAAAGATTTTTTTCCTTTTCCTGTTCGGTTTCCTGGGTATTTTTTTAACCTTAAAAATACTTCTGGGGGATTCCTGGGTGGCTCAGTCGGTTAAGTATCTGCCTTTGGCTCAGGTCATGACCCCAGGGTCCTGGGACCAAAGCTCAGCATCGGGCTCCTTGCTCAGCGGGGAGCCTGCCTCTCCCTCTGCCTGTCACTCCCCCTGCTTGCCCTTGCACACTCTCTCTCTCTGCCAAATAAATAATAAAAATTAAATCTTAGAAAAGAAAATACTTCCGAGATACTGCAACATCAGCCGCCACCTAGATGACATTTTAAGCCCACATTGTTAGTGATTTTCTCTTCTAAAGGGATGGAGGTGCAAATAGGTTTAGTCCTGAGAAGACTTTCATGAACTCCAGACACCAAACAGTCATACCATTTTACCCACTTAGTCACATAGTTTTGCTGCTCCTAAAGGTCACATCGTTGTGCAATAATTAAAGTCCAAAAAAATTGTTATTCTGCATTTCTTTGCCCTAAGTTGAACATTTTCCTATCTGTAGTCTTGTTTCACCATTGAAGTAAGCTTTTATGTTCCGTATGTATGATGCCAATAAAAAGTATGAGTATTTGAAAAGAGAAACCAAAATTGTTTAGCTTAAAAACTGAAAGCATTTTGGCAGAACTGATATAAATGGAAATACTGGCACCATTTAATAAAACAAAGACAAAGCTCAGGCATAGTAAACTGCAGTTCCTGTCACCATATAAACAACAGGAAAATCTAAGTCAGCACTTCATTTATCCCAAGGTTGGCACAGAACTGCATTTTCCCTTTCTCTGTTGTAAGCTTTTCCTGTGTGTCTTACGGGAGACAGATACTGAAACACAATAGAAGTAATCTGGGAATTTTGTTCTCCATGTTGTCCTGCCTCATTTAGCTCTCCCTTCTTAACCTGGGTTTAAATTCAGAACTAAACTAGGATGCAACAATTTGAAGATCCTGATTTGAGACATTTCTTTTAGCTCCGCCCTCTGGAATGCTATCTGCTCCTTTATTGGACAGGACCAGTGCAACTAAATGTATCCGCTTCTCTTGGCATCTTAGCTTTTATGAATGTTAAAAACCACTACCCTGTGCTAATCCTGGCCTGAGTGCTCTGTTTAATTGTTAACAACAAGAGGATCCGTCTCTTTATTGATGAGGCAACTGAAAGGCCAAAAAGTAACTTCCCCACATCACATCGCTGGTGAATAGGCAATGGGCATTTCGACTTGAATAGCTTAACTCTAGAGCCCACACTGTCATTCCCAAACCATGCTATATAATACATAGTACACACTTTGTGCAGGGTTAAGGTGTTTGGCAGGACCAGGAACATATCAAAGCATTTGTGTGATACTCTAATTAGTGATAGAATATGTTTTAGCTCACCAGTTGCCAGCTGGTAGACTAATTTTGTTTGACCTTTGCTAAATTTGAAACAACTTTCGAATGCTTTTTGGTAAGCACAGAAAATGGATAGGCCAGGGCGCTCTGTGATTCTACCTCAGTAGTAGCTAAGAACTATTAAGCTTACTCATTAGCACTACCTCTCTGCCCCTGACAGTATTTAGCCTACTCCTGGGTCATTTGGCCCCATTTCTCAGTGTCTCAGAGCAATATGACAAACTTCTCCGATGAGGAGGTTTTGTCTAGTTAGTCATCTGAGTGACTCTGGGAATCACAGGACTAATAATGCCACTCTTGCCTACTACATAATGAGGAAGCCCACCACCTCAGCTCTTGTGAAAAGGCTGCAGTGAATTTATAGTGTATATGACAATCGCTCTTGGTTACTAACCTGAGATGTAAGACCCTGAAGTGAATAAGGAGGCTTGTCTGAAGAGTTGTCTCTCTGCCCCAAGGCCACTGTTAGTCACTGTTCTTAGAACAGTTTTATCTTGGGCTTCATCTGGGGTCATCTTCACAAGCCTATGAGGTATACGGGACAATTTGTAATATATTAAAAAATTATATTTGTTGAAGACTAACGGCGTATTAATGTAATGTACTTGGTATTCTCAAATGTAGCATTTATTCCCATTTTTACAAATAAGTAGGATAAGGCTCCAGAAGTGTACATGAACTTGCTCAAGGTCTGCTACTCTCAAGTAGCAGAATTGGAGTTTGAACACAACTCTGGTGACTTTTTCACTATACTATAATAGGGATGTTTTCCTTTTATGGATTTATAGTCTACATTCTGCATTAATATACAGGCTGTTGATGCCAAGGGGTGATAACTTTCCTAAAACCCTAAATAATAACAGTAAGGCTAAAATGAGATTCAGTGATTGTCTCAGTGTATGCAGAGGAGAGAAAAGGAGTAAACAATAACTTCACAGATCTCAAACAATAGGGATTCAGAAAATAAAGGGGGTTGTTGCCTGGGTGTCTCAGTTAAGCATCCTACTCTTGATCTCAGCTCAGCTCTTGATCTCAAGGTCAAGAGTTCAAGCCCGGTATTGGGCTCCACACTGGGTGTGGGGCCTACTTCAAAACAAAATAAACCATAGCGATTCAGATTTCCAGGAAGGCGGTCTGGCCATGTTTTAAAAGCAGTCCAAGTAATTTCAGTTCAGCCTGACAAACATTTGAGACCCATAGGTCATTTCCCTCTCTCAGCACTTTTTTTTTTTTTTTTTTTAAATGAAAGGCTGTTCTCTGCTCAGGTGCCAAAAGATCATGAGGCCGGCCTGGATAATATGGCTCAGGATTTAGACTGAGCTCAGGATTTAGAATTAGTGTTTAATTCTAATAATTTAGAATTCATATTTCATTCTAATATTTGATTTTCATTATTTAGAATTTATTTGATTTCTAAAACAGTACCAGAATACAAAAGCACTCGGTGTGTTGGCTCTGAATGTCCTTATCAGAAGTAGCCATCCTGGGATGTCTGGTTGGCTCAGTCAAAAGCAGCTCAGGTCATGATCCTGGGGTCTTGGGATCCAGCCACAGAGTCAGAGTTGGAGTCTGGCCTCCCTGCTCAGCAGGGAGCCTGCTTCTCCCTCTCCCTCCAACCCTCCCTCTGCTTGTGCTCTCTCTTTCTATCAAATAAAATCTTAAAAAAAAAAACCAAAAAAACCAGCAGCAGCCAAGTGTGTCAGAAGAATAGTCAAAGTGCAAATTTTGCTGAGGGCATTTGGCACTACCTCAATTCTTAACTATTTCAGTTCCTAGCTATTTTATGTGCCATAAACCATTCATGTATCTGCAAGCCATTTCTTTTCCGAAATAAGAATCAATATAGCAGTACTGGAAAAAAGCCGCTTTTGATGTGCTGATTATAGGTCCTCACGCTCCAGTTACAATATTTAAATACTTGCAAATCACGGGCGCCTAGGTGGCTCAGTCCATTGAGTGTCTGCCTTGGGCAAGCCGGCTGTGTCCTCCTGGGATGGAACCCCCCCTCCCCCGCTCAGTGGGGGTCCTGCTTCTCCCTCTCTCTGCCACTCTCTCCTGCTTGTGCTCTTTCTCTCTGTCGAATAAATAAAATCTTTCTACATAAATAAATAAATACTGGCAAATGAGTCTAACCCTTTTCCATTTTTTTTGTCCTTAGTACCATCTGGGATTGACGGCTCAGCCTGAACTCTACCTTCTGAACACAGTGGATGCCGACTCACTTGTGTCTAGATGACTGACAGCCCGCGAGACTGTATAAGAACTACTTTGTCTTAATCCTTTTGTGCCAGGTGTCCTGTTAACATATCTCTGTTAGTTCAGAGGTGAGTTTTGTTCAGATGTTTTGAACAAAAGGCAAAGATTTCCTCATGGGAAAGGGCATTAAAAGCTGACAGCTGTTAAATGTAGGACAGAGACCCACCTGCCTCCCCTGTCCTACAACAGCCAGAGCTCAATGATTGGCCTCTCGTGGCCACACACCCCTATGGGCTTGTGTCTTGACTTCTGGCATTTAAAAATATATTTGTGTATATATTTATGTAAACCTGAACATAGCAGTTTGGGTAGAGGTTTAAGGTTATATAAAATTGATAGGTCTTATTTTTTTCGAAGATAGTATTTGGATAAATCAGATATTTGTTTTATCTGGGTCACAGGTGAGAAAGGAGAGGGAGTAATGCTCTTTTTTGGAATGACCTGGTGAAATTAACTTACCTTTTAAAGTGATACTTGACTATGGCCGGTTAAATTCCATGTCAGTTTTAATCGACCAGACCCTTAGTGACTACTTCATACCAGCACATCATTTCTAAGGAAAACATTTCTTCTTTTCAGCATTCATATTTGGTCCTGGTTATTGATGTGCTTCTTAATTATAATTCTCTTTGTTACTTTTCTTGAAATCTCATCTGAGGAATGATGGTATTTTCCGAAGAGCTTAATACCTTGTAATAAGATTCAGAAACCATGCTCTAACCGATGATCAGTTTTCCATGTGACATTGTAACTCAGCCCATTTTACCATTCAGGTTTTTAGGTATAAAAAGAAGAAACTTATAACATTTACTTTTATAAAGATGTTGATGGACATATTTGTTTTCTTTCTAATGTTTAGAGTCCTACCATGTGTTTTCTTCCCATTTTTCCCATTGAAACGCCAAACACCATTTCTGGGTCCAAACTCTGTGTCCAGGAATGGCTAATATTTCTAATGTTGAATTTCCCTGAATGCTAAGCATTTTATTGTGAGATATTTATACCAAGTAATATGAGATTAGAACTAGACTAGGACTTAGATGACTAGTTCTCATGTCATAAACTGCCTGTCTACATATGGGTTATAGACTCTTTTTGACCCCTCTTCTTCACTGGGACCTTTTTCCTTAAGATTTTTATAATAAAAAAGTTAATACTTAAAAATTGAAAGATTTTGCATAATTATCTGATTGAAAAGGAGATTTTCAACACTGGGTCACATTTCTGCATGGAACTGCGGTTGGCTGGAATGAATGGCCACTGTCCATCTTCATGGACTATACTGCAGGACAGCACACACACTCCTTCATTTCCTTCTGGCCACAGAGGCGTTGTGTTTGCAAATACTGCAGCTTTTGTATGACTTTGAGCATTATCTTCCTAAGTTAGTGCTTTTCAGTAAGTTGTTTTTTGTTAAATCCAGACATGCCTTATCTTCATTTATAAAGACCTGGCCCTCTAAGTGGCAAGTTTTCTAAGATGATACTTTAAAATTCTTGGGGCCTCTGTGTGGCTCAGTCGGTTAAGCATCTGCCTTTGGCTCAGGTCATGATCCTGGGGTCCTGGGATCGAGCCCTGCATTGGGCTCCCTGCTCTGTGGGAAGCCTGCTTCTCCCTCTCCCACACTGCCTGCTTGTGTTCCCTCTCTCGCTGTCTCTCTGTGTCAAGTAAATAAATAAAATCTTTAAATAAATAAATAAATAAAATTCTCTCATTTCTCCATCAGGGGCCCTTGAAACTTCTGGTAAGAGTAGTGTCCTTATGCTGTAGGTTAGCATCCTTCTGATCTTAAAATGAAACTGAATTAGCATCAATTAACAGCTTTCATTTGAAGAAGAGATTTTTAAAATGAGTTTCAGTATTTTAGATTCTTTATACACAGATAAGAATTCTAGATGGACCAATTTGGATTTTCCTCCCTTCCTGGGCAATTCAGTTTCTCAGTTTCATTACTAGAGAGTGTTAGGAGGAAAAAAAAAGGTTTAAAAAATCCTGTTTTGGGACGCCTGGGTGGCTCAGTTGGTTAAGCAGCTGCCTTCAGCTCAGGTCATGATCCCAGCGTCCTGGGATCGAGTCCCACATCGGGCTCCTTGCTCATCAGGGAGCCTGCTTCTCCCTCTGCCTCTGCCTGCCGTTCTGTCTGCCTGTGCTTGCTCTCTCTCCCTCTCTCTCTCTCTGACAAATAAATAAATAAAATCTTTAAAAAAAAAAAAAAAAATCCTGTTTTGCCACTCCTAAGAAGATGAGGTGCTCAGTTAAACAGAGACTAAGTACTTGGGGGATTCTTTAACTCCTCTCCCTCCTTTAGCTATATGTTACTAGGAAGAGACTCGAGTGTACAAAAGTTTATAAGTATACCGATCAGGTCATATAACTCCTATAATCAAAAAATTTGATAATCTGAGTTATGCTAAAACCAGTAGAAGAAACTGATTTCTAAAGAGGGAGTCTGGGGTATACTTCTTTTCTAAGTGAGGAACATTTAATCATTCTCTAATTTATGATTTACAAATCTGGATTTTTCTTTTCCTTTTTTTTTTTTTTAAAGATTTTATTTATTTATTTGACAGAGAAAGAGGTAGAGAGAGAGAGAGTGCAAGTAGGGGGAGTGGGAGAGGGAGAAGCAGGCTCCCCACTGAACAGGGAGTCTGATGCAGCACTTGACCCCAGGACCCTGGGATCATGACCTGAGCTGAAGGCAGATGCTTAACCAACTGAGCCACCCAGGTGCCCCTAGATGATTTTGCATTTTAATTAATTAATTTATTTATTTATTTTTAAATGTAAAGTCTTTTTTTTTTTTAAAGATTTTTTTTTTTTATTTATTTATTTGACAGAGAGAGAGAGAGAGAGAGATCACAAGTAGGCAGAGAGGAGGAAGCAGGTTCCCTGCTGAGCAGAGAGCCCGATGCGGGCCTTGATCCCAGGACCCTGAGATCATGACCTGAGCCAAAGGCAGAGGCTTTAACCCACTGAGCCACCCAGGCGCCCTGCATTTTAATTTAAACACAATTTGTGAGTTCTCATGCATAGCTACTCTTAGTAAATAAATACCTTGCATTTCTTTTTTCAAGCAATAAATATATCACTGAAGTTCTCTCAGAGTAAAATTAATAAATTCTGGAACCTACTGGGTTTTATGAGAAAAGCCCATTTCTAATTAAACACTTAAGTCTATTTTTATTTTTTAAAGATTTATTTATTTATTTGAGAGATGAGAGAGAGTATAGTGAGGGGAAGGGGCAGAGGAAGAAGCAGACTCCCTGCTGAGCAAGGATCCCAACGTGGGACTCCATCCCAGGACCCTGGGATCATGACCTGAGCCAAAGGCAGACGCTTAACCAACTGAGCCACTCAGGCACCCCCTTAAGTCTATTTTTAATACAGAGTCTATATTAAGAGAGTAGAATCTTTCCAGTAGCCTGATTAGAAATAGCTTTTCATTGTGTAATCAACTTGAAGGATGATGTTTCTATGCCAGCTGTTCTCAATTTCCCTAACCTCCATGGAACATAGTAGATCTAGCTGCTGGACTATTTAGTGGAATAAAGTAGTTGGATTCTTCCTTGCCTATTTTCCAAAGAGGACAGTGTTGACCAAAACAGGCACTAGAAGAGCCTTCTGATAGGTAAATGACAATTTTAAAAATTACTACCTGTGCCAACGGAGAAAAGTGTATATAATACACAGAACAATGGGTTAGTATCTGGAATGCAGACGTATTTTCAGATATTCTTACATCTTTTCCTTTCCCAAATACTAGACTTCACCTTCCTGTCAGATTAACTGTCCACTACAGGAGACATCAAGGAAAAGGAAATCACCACCACAGATCATTTTGTAGTACGTTCTTGATTTTATTTCAGTGAATACTTTTTTCATTTGTTTTTTTTTTTTTTTTTCAGGCTTGGAGTTTTAGGGAAGTAAATCTGAGTCACAACAGTTGGGACTTCAACAAAGTCTAGTTAATTTTTTAGAACCGTGGGCAGTTATGAGGCGTTTGAGGTCACAGATAGTTAACATTTAATGTCTGCTTTGGTTTCTGTGTCTTCTAGTGTCAGACCATTAGCATAGCATTAGACTAACTCCTTTCACCCCCACAATTGCCATCTGGGGGAAAGGGATTTTTTTTTTTTTTTTTTTTTAAGCAATGTACCTTTGTGCTCCTAGAAAAAGTTTCAAGAAGTATAAAAATGAATACATAGATATATTTAAATGTTAAACATTTATGTTTGTGGCAAAATAGTCATGTTTTTAGATTAGAGTAAGGTACACAGTGGTAAACCAAATTTAAATAACAACATGACCGTTCTTCTCTTATAACTGTTTGCCGTTCTTGAAAAGAATTTATGAAAGCTCTAATTACTTCGCCCTACACGGAGAGAATTAAGTGATGAATAGAGTATTACATTTAATATGGATATAGATAATTTTTCTGTAGCCACTATTATAAATCCTAATTTTCAGATTGGTTTGGCATAATATAGATTATTTTCTGCCACTAACTAGAAAGTAAAAATTCTAAAAGTCAGAAAATCCTATCCTAGGTTCTGAAAGACAACAAGGATATTTTTGAGTTGACTGTGATTTTTGATTTGGAAATCAACTTCGTAAACAATTGAGACTTACTATACAAGGGTATGAGAATCCTGTCTCATTCTTCTGCAGTATAATTTGCTACATATTGAGAATTCTTCATAATGAATAGTTTTCAGAAGCCTTCTTATCTTAGATGTAGCTTCATTTTTTGGACACGCTGAAGAATCGAGGTCTGATATAATCCTTATACATAGAATAGAGAACACCTAGAGACAAAAAAATATATATCAATACGGTACCTGTGGAAAATGAAGGTTGAATTTCTTCCACTTGTATTTTTCCAAAACTGTCCCTCAACTTAGAAACAAACAAATGCCTTCCATCTTATTAACTTTTGGCTTGGATCATATAAATGGCTCCAGACAAACCAACCAATCCCAAAACGTTAGACCCCTTTAAGATCCATATAAATTAAAAAAAATAATAAATTAAATAATAATAATAAATTTAAAAAATTTAAAAAAATCCATATAAATCTCAATCCAAATTTATAATGTCACTATGCCACCCTAGAATTCGAATTTTAAAATATTGGTGCAAAAGTAAGGAGAGTGGGGAGATTTGGCTAGATAATAACATAGAAATAATAGACATCTCAACCTAGCACACCTCTCTTCAGGGCCTCCTTGTGTTTAGTGTCTTGAGAGAAAAGAAGGTAAAGGGACAGAATCCTTGCTTCTAGAGGTTTGCAGTCTAGTGGGTGAATTAGGTAGGAGTATAGGCTGAGAGATTATGACAGAGGTTTTGCAGAAGGGTAAGTAGTCAAGGGAAATAGCCTGAGAGGTAGAGTTGTTTCATTGTGTTGCAGGAACGTCAGCAAGTGTTCGTATCCACAGCAAGTTAAGGAGTCTGCTCACCACCTGCCCCGTCCACATCAGTTATCAAGACACCAGCTATCTAGTACATTGTCTAACCTAAATCCTTTACTTCCTTTCCTTCTGCCTTTTTTTTTTCTTCCTGACGCTGTTTGTTCGTGTTTTCAGGGAGCGCACAGAGAAAAAAGGATGGGTGAGGTTGTTCTCGGGGTACCCTGTAGCTGGCTGAGGCAGCTGTCTGCACAGTTTCCTAACACAATAGTAGTAGAACCATCACAGATGTATAAAATCCAAGGCAAAAACATGTTTACTGGATGCACTGTGGTATCTATGGAGACATTCTCAGATGCAGAGAGAACTGTAGAACTCATTTCCCTGTACTTATTAGACACAGGTAATGCTTACCTGTTGCCTGCCTCTTAAATGTTGGTATTTCCTGGAGTTCTGATCTCAACTCTTTTCTCACCTCATTCACACCTGTGAATGCTTCACTGGTAAGCAAGTTAGAACTCTCTTTTTAATGTGAGACCCATATATTCATCACACCATATGTCAAATTTCCACATACATAGGTAGGTGGCTGCCAAACTTTTAAATTATACATAAATAAATAAGTTGAGCATGCCCCTCAAAGTGTTCATTTATCTATAAACAATATAAATGTACTATGGCTAGTCTATATATGAGTAAAGCTTTTTTTTTTTTTTTAAGATTTTATTTATTTATTTGACAGAGAGAGATCACAAGCAGGCAGAGAGGCAGGCAGAGAGAGAGGAGGAAGCAGGCTCCCCGCTGAGCAGAGAACCCGATGCGGGGCTCGATCCCAGGACCCTGAGATCATGACCTGAGCCGAAGGCAGTGGCCTAACCCACTGAGCCACACGCGCCCCAGCTTTTTTGTTTTTAAGATAAAAATATTTTCTTCCAGGGCACCTGGGTGGCTCAGCAGGTTAAAGCCTCTGCCTTCGGCTGGGGTCATGATCTCAGGGTCCTGGGATGGAGCTCCGCATAGGGCTCTCTGCTCAGCGGGGAGCCTGCTTATCCGCCTCTCTCTGCCTGCCTCTCTGCCTACTTGTGATCTCTGTCTGTCAAATAAATAAATAAAATCTTTAAAAAAAATATTTTCTTCCCTCATACCCATGGATCTTCTTATACATTTCCTAAGGTCAGAGTACTCTAATTTGGAGACATCTGCCATAGGCATCTCAGTCAGTATAATATAAAATTAAGAGTTCAGGCCCCAGAGTAGATAAGCCAGGCGATTGTTAGCAAAAATTTTTTTCTCTCTAAGACTCCATTTCCTTATCTGGAAATGGGATTATTAATAAATAAAGACTTTGGTCTTTGTTTGGAGTTCCTGCAATAGAGTTTCTAAAATGCTTGGAAGTTCACAGATAGAGAGGGGCGCCGGGGTGGCTCAGTTGGCTGAGCATCTGCGTTTGGCTCTGGTCATGATCCCAGAGTGCTGGCTGGGATCAAGCCCTGCCTCAGGCTCCCTGCTCACGGGAAGCCTGCTTCTCCCTCTCCCTCTGCCTGCTAATTCCCCTGCTTGTGTGTGCACTCTCTCTCTTTCTCTCACTCTCTCTTTCTGTCAAATAAATAAATAAAATCTTTTAAAAAATTTTCCAGATAGAGGAGTATCTTTGTTACTCATGGGCCCCTTGGATTATACCTGAATTTATGTTAATGGGGTGACCCACGGTGGGCTCTCAGGATCCTACTTCAGGATGTGGCTAGTCATGCCAGAAGACCAACCATAGGATTAGAGGGTTCTTTGCCCTCCAGGGAGGGGAGTAGGGCTAGAAGTTGAGTTCTGGCATGGGGCCAGTGATTCAGTCAATCATGCCTACATAATGAAGCCACAATAAAAACTCTGGATGCTGAAGCTCAATAGAGTTTCTCCGGTGGTGGACACATTGATGTGCTGGAAGGGTGACATGCCCTGATTCCATAGGGAAAGGGTAGAAAGCTTTGAGTCTGGGACCCTCCCAGACCTTACCCTACGTGTCTCAATTTGCCTGGTCTTGATTTAGATACTTCATAATAAAACTTTAGTCAGTATAGAGCTTTCCTGAATTCTTAGGTTGTTTTAGTGAAATATCAAACCTGAGGGAGTTTTGGGAACCCCTGAATTCATAGCCAGTTAGTTAGAAGTTGCAGGTGGCCTGGGCACTCCCTAGAGCCTGGTCTCTGCAGTAACAGCAGTCTCTGGGAAGCTAAGGCGTGCTGTGGGCAGTTGGCAGCAGTACAGGTGCACCCGGTGGTGTGAAGGAGGTGTTTATTAAGATTAAATCCCTGTGGTGTACACCTAACAACACTGCGTGTTAACTATACTGGAATGAAAATAAAAGCTTAATGAAGTTTACCTACAAAATATTGAGATAGTGATTTAGAAAGCAGAATGGTTGCACAGCATAAACACTCATTAACTATTAGCAATTACTGTTTTGTCCAATATGCACTTATCCTCCCACCAAACCTGTTCTTCTTCATTCTTTATACTAGTGAAGGCACACCTTTATCTGGCTGCCCAAACCAGAAGCCTGGGAATCATCCTTGACTTCCTCCTTCCTTTCTTCCTTCCTCCTTCCTTCCTTCTCCCAATCACTTAGTTGCTGAGTCCTGAACGTTTCTAGAATCCACCTCCTCTCCATTTTCACTATTCCTGCTTTAGTTCAGACCTAGTTCATCATCTAATTGACTTCTTCTCTGCCTTTGTTCTCACCTCTGCTTTACAAATCCTCTGTAATCATTTTCCTTTTCCTCATAGTGAAATAGAATACGCATGGAAAATGGTAGACACAATCTAAATGACCAGATTAACAGACAGTTGCAGAGGGAATTACCTGGAATTGCAGGTCAAGAAATAGAATATGGGAAGCATCCTGGGAGCCCCCCAGCTTTCCCTCTCTGACCATACGTCCTCCTTTCCATAATAACCACTGTTCTGTCTTTTCTTAGGGTGACCCTCTGTTCAAACGGTTTCACATTGCCTGCGTTTGGGCAGGCGTCTTTCTCAGTTGCTATCCTGACTACTATACTCCCCTGTTTAAACCTTCCACTGACTTGTGTCCTCTAGTTAACACCTCAGCTTGCAACTGTAGACATTGATCGGGGATTTGTTTTCTATCAGTTTTGCTGGGCTGTAATTGCTTTTTTGCAGGGACAGAATTTCTGTTCCTGCATATTTCTGGGTTAGCTTGGCTCGTAAGAGACATTTTGCTTGAAGTTTGAAGGTGAAAGTCGAAGCTGCAGCTGCTGTGTTCTTCTTACACTTGGAAGGCTTGGTACAGGGAGCCAGGTGCTGCTGCATCTTGTGCCTGTTGCCGCTCACCAGCTGGCTCACCTTGCCATTGTTGGACAACAGTCAGACCCACAGATCCTTCAGCAACTTCTGGATCTCCTCCTCTTAGCTTCTTCGACTCCTAGGCCAGTGGATGAGCTCCATGATAGAGGGTCCAGCTTCTCCTACAGGTCACACCATGATCAAAGCTGGAGTCAGTAAGAGACTGACCCAAGTTTCTCTTTGTGGGTTCCAGCTCTTCCTTGAAGATCGCAGTTAATTTTTCTTTCCCAGCTGCTGCCTTGTTAACTTTAGGCCCCAGCCTTAGGAACTTAAGCACCAGTCCAATATGGACTGTTTAATCAGCTCTCAAAATTGGTTAGGGTCGGGGTGCCTGGGTGGCTCAGTGGGTTAAGCCTCTGCCTTCGGCTCAGGTCATGATCTCGGGGTCTTGGGATCGAGCCCCGCATCAGGCTCTCTGCTCGGCAGGGAGCCTGCTTCCTCCTCTCTCTCTCTGCCTGCCTCTCTGCCTACTTGTGATCTCTGTCAAATAAATAAAAACTTTAAAAAAAATTGGTTAGGGTCATATTTCTATTAAAAAATCCCTTTTTATATATCACTACTGGTAGTTTTGCTTCTCTGATCCTGACTGGTACAGAGTTTGGTACAGAAGCTTCCAGAGGAGCATAACCATGAGGGTAGGTTCTCTGAATTGGTTCTGGGTCATCTGGAATTGGTTCTGTGATCTGATTAGATTTAAAGATATTAATGACCTTTTTTTTTTTTCAGTAGTAAAGAGGATGCTAGCAGTCTATGGCATGCAGTAGTAAAACATCTTTTTAGATTGTCACCTATAGAAAACCTTAATCAGGTATCTATAGAAAACGGGCTTTGGGTGATCAGGTATTTACTATATGAGAACATTTAGTGGAGATAAGGAGAATAATTAGGCTGGTTTCTTCTAAGTGTGCTGGAGAACTTGGGAACACAAAATGAGGGACTCAGGGCTTTCAATTCCTTAATCCAGGTGCTTTGAGGGACCTGAAAGCCTTATGACTTTCCTGAAAGAAACTCAGCTCCTGTAGCAATGAGGCTGATATTTTTGAAAA